TATATATATATATATATATATATATACATATATATATTTGGAATTCGGCTAGTAAATAATTGTCTAGACGTGAACATGATTGATTTTAAAACCAATAATGTAGGTAAGAGTAAACAATTAACCATTAAAAAAAAGACGTACGGAGGAAACAATAACGAAGGCGGCTTAGTTGGAAAGTACTTGAAGATAATCCCAAAGAACTTGGACTTTGTTGTATGCTAAGTTGTCAACAAAAGTATTAGAAATTTGAGGGAAGATTGTAGGAAGTATATTCACTCTTCAATGTCTCATCCCTGTTTTCCCTGTTTTAATGCACTCTTCAAGTTTTCATTCTCATTTTTTAAAGTTTGGATTGTTTTTTGGTGCATTGTTATGTTATCTTTCCATCTTATCATAACATATATTAAAACTTGGACATGGAACACATAGATATTTAGCTAGAGAGAAAAAACTCTTTTATGTATGTTCATTATCGCCGATGAACTTGCTTAATTTCATGAAATCCTGAAAGACTAGTAGACTACTCATTTATATTTCGCGGGTAATTTGTCAAAAAGAAACGAAGAAAAAAAAATGAAACAGAAAACACGCATTTATGACTCGGGGATCAAAAAAAGGGAAATAAAGATTTTTTTGATCAAGAATTGCTAGGTAAAGGTATAGCATGCTTCAAGCCTGAAAATGCATGCCAGTAGTATTTTTTATGCTTTCTGCAGCTCAATGCTCTCATTCTGTCGCAATTGGGCTAGGTTTTTTTATTTAGTTTTTTATTTTTTTTGGTTTAGTGAGTTTGTGAAGTTGTGATGTTAGATTATAAGCAACAGAAATATTGACAAGGAAATGACGAGGTTGTGATCGTATAATTAACCTCATGTAATTCATCCACTATTCAATCACAGCTTCAACCATTTATAAGAAACTACTAGTTAGTACCATGCGCTACGCACGTAGAAGTATTTTTATAGATTTTATTTGCGTGTTGAAGTTTTGATCTTACCATATTATTATTTTTGTAGTTTGTTTAGTAATGACGGTTTTAATTGAAAATTAATAAACAATTAACACTAACATTATATTTTAGAGAATGAAACATTAGGGAAAAAAAGTCGGAGGAATTTTATAGTATAAAATAAAATATTATGCTGTTTAATATATAGAAAATTAAGACAAAAATAATTGAAAAAAAAAAATTTCAAGTTAAATTTAGAATAGTGCACAAAGGGAACTCTCATTTATATTATATATATATATATATATACATATATTTTATTTTTCTAAAATGATCTTTTTCGAGTTAATGCATGTTCATTTTTACATCTAAGTTATACTATTTCCTTTTGTTTTTATAAGTTTTAAATGTTATTTGTTTACTTTTCTCCAATCCCACTACATTTCTTTTCATTATAATTTTTATCGGAAGCTTTTCTAGCTCCCAAAGATTTGTGTTACAACGACAATAATTAACATATTGAGGCATATATAATTTTTTATTGATTATATTTTCGCAAAAGTTATTAGAAATTATAAATATAACTTTAGAAAATCTTATTTAATATTAATTTTAAGTGGAAATAGCAAATAATTATTTATATTTCATTTTCTTCTTAAAACTTTATTTTTCGGTTACTTGATTAAATATTTCTGCTAGAGTTAAAGAGAATACCAAATTATAAAAATAAAAATAAAAACCTTTAAAATTTAACATGTATGTATCAAAACACTCATGAACACACTAAATTTACACGTGCCAAACACGTGGCTCTGACTAGAATATATATAATATAATATAGCTATATATGTATCTTTTTCTTTTCAGTTTGATAAAGTAATTAGAGAAATAAAAATCGTGCGAATCCGGCACTTGGGCATTTTCTAAACAAACAGCTTCAAATGAAGCAGTACAACAAACACACAAAGAAGCTTGAGCAGTAGGCTCATACATTGGTTATGAATCAGAATCCTTTCAAAAACAAGCCTCGAATAAAAATAAATAAATAAAAAAACACACGCACGTGCGCACAGAGTATAATCTTGTTTCTCCACAGCAACATTGCACTTTAACTTCTTAGTCTCGATCCCCTCATAACCTTGGAAAACCAGGTCTCTAAGCCTTGGAAAAACACACGCACGTCAAGTCTCTAAGAGAGCAGAGGTGTTGAAATCCCATGCGACATCCGGAGATATCAAGATAGGACGGCAGCCCCTCGTCAGGCAAGCACTCCAGATTTTCGCAATCGTAAATCCTCAAGTGTTTAAGAGAGCAGAGGTGTTGAAAGCTCATGCAATTCAAGTCTCTAAGCCTTGGAAAACCAGCGATCAGGAGAGAAGTGAGAGATGTGGGCAATTGCTCTTCGAGCAAGCTCTGGAGCTTTTCACAATTCCAAAGGATCAGGCTTTTAAGAGAGATGAGCTGCTCAAGTACTCCCTTCCCATTCTCTTCTACTGCGTTGTACTGGAGATTCTTGCATTTCCGAATTTCCAGCTCTTCAAGGGAGATGAGGCGTCGAAAGAAGCCGTCACCGATGTCTTCAAGGCTTGGAAGGTTAAGGGGCGAAAAGAAAGAAAACTCAATATGCATGTCATGTTTCCTTTCTTTTGTTTTCTCTCTTTTGATAATCTGTAATCAATTATACATGTCATGTTACACTGTATATAGGAAGTGTGAGTCTTTAAATGGATTATCAACTGCGGAGTTTGTATAGGATGTAAGCAAAATGGATGCACCTCTAATTAATAATGCATTAACAGCATGGACCATCGTAGGAAATATGCTGTGCCAAAGAAAGTAGGAGCTGACATATAATTGTAAAGCCAAACAAGAAGAGGCTGCCAAAACGAATTTGAGATATCAGCAGAAAGAGGAGATGTGAAAAGGTTGCAAAATTGTTGAGAAAACCTTAAGAATATCACCCAACAACTAAATATTTTCAATACTATTAAAAAATTGGCACTTTAATGACGGAAGTACCAAAGTTTGAAACTTAAATTCCTATTCTTCTAAAATTTATCTCTGTTATTTAAATTCTTAATTAGTAAACGGGCCCATAATAAATCTCAAGAAATTTTATGCTGTATTGAGTTGTTGAACGCAAAGTGAGACAATTCCAAATAATCGGGAGCCTACAACCTCGATTCTTCGGAGTCAAATATGTAGGAATCTTGAGATGCCTAATAATGTCTAATATCTGACATCATGTCAATTGAACGTTTAGTTGTCCGACGAACATCTTTCACACTCCAAAATAGGAAAATCTTTTTGTAGTACATGCTTGTTGATTATTTTCTAAATTTCAAGTTTTGGTCTTTCTATGGTTAAGAAAGTCTCATGAGGCTGCGGCCTGGGCTTTGATGTCTGGTTCTGTTGCAAAATTGTTGTTTTTTTTTTCCCCAAGGATATTCATATTCAATAAAGTCCCAAGTTATATTTGAGCCCGAAGAGAAAGGCCAAAGAAAATTCAAAATAGAAAAGGCAGATACACATCTGTAGTATTTTCATTGCAATGGTACGAGTTAGCAGTTTTATTACACATCCAAATGGACAACTTATGATCCAAGCAAGAAAAGAGACGGTGAAATAATTAATATGGTTTTTATGTTGCCATGACTTTAAGCATATTTCAGTTTATTCTTGTATTTCGTGGCGATATTTCTTCTCAATGGATTAGAACTATACCGAAGACCAAAAGTAGTTGCTCAGACACAAATAAGCAAATAAATAAATAAATAATAAAAATATCTCAATATAAAACTCTTCAATTGAAGGTTACATCACCTTACTTTGAATAGAAAGAATTCGCATTTCCTCCATATAGCACGCCCATGTCGGTTGCTGTATGCATAAGGAAATAACCTGCATGATAGGGTTAGATGTAACATAAAGAAACAAAAAGGAATAGATCAAATTCTATTACCATCAAAACTTAGATACAACACAAATTACAACAAAAATTTGAAAAAACAAGCAGACAAAACGAATGACGAAAGAGCTTTTATAGGAACTCTAAAACCACAATTCTAAATATTTTTGCAGATTACCTATTATTTTTGCAGAGAGTGTCTTTCTGCAGATCTACCACCAAAGGCCTCTATAAGAACTCTAAAACCACATTTCTAAATATTTAAAACTACGCAGGATATACATAGCCAAAGTTGGTTCCTAAACAAAAACATGGTTACTAGCTCAGGCAGAATTAACATAGCCAATAAGCTGCAGAAAATTAATGTGATGTAAACAGCAAGTAAGATTTATTTATGCAAACCTGAATTCCATCGAATTATTCAAATAGGTTAAGCTTCTGTATGGCCTTGCACTGATCACTCCGGGAACGTGGAGACAAAGTCGACTCCTCCAGCAAAATCCTCTCGGTCAACTCCGCAGCACGCAACCTCTCCTTCGAAGCAGAAGATCTCTTCCAGAACAGTCAAGCCAACATCTCAGCAGGAGTCAACTGCTCCTTCTTCATAGTGGTTGCCATGAGATTGCATCCAAACATGAGCAGAAGCCAAAAGCGACAAGCTTGAGCCAACGACTGAACGACCTCAAACAAGTACTTGGAAGAATCGAAGATGACTCAGCTGCAGAACAAAGTCCAGGGCGAGGAGCAACACTTTCTCAATTATGCTCCTTAAAAGATTAAGGACCATACAGATTCTTCCAAAAGATTGATCAAATCCCTGCAGCAATATCAGTAAACTTAATGGCTTTGCTTGCTTTTATATTTCAGTTCACATGAAAGAACAAGCTTCCCATTGTTGATATAAGCAATTCCAAACATAACCATAGTTGTGAGAGGTGGGAACCAAAACCTACATGAAAACATAATTACATCAGTAAACAAAAAGCAATGAACTTTATAGCAGACCATTAGCAAATCATAAGTTAACTGTTTCAAAATCCGTTATCTAATTTGACATTATAAAGTGGACATTCTTGCAACAAAATTAAAAAAAAAAAAATTGAGTTCACATAAAAGGGGAAAAAACAACATTCAAATAGGAAAGAAGTATGATATGAGATAGAAATCACAGCTTTTTAGTCTCGAAAATAGAACAAGATGAAACTTGTGGGTTTATTCACTATATATATTTTATGCTTTCTGAAGAGGCACAATAACAAACAAGCTTACTCAAATATTGTTGAGGAAAAAAAAAAAAAAAAACCTTACTCAAATATTGAGGCATGGCAAAAACAAGCTTTCCATTGTGGCTGTAAGCAGCTCCAAGCTTGACTATAGTTGAAATCCCATTTAATCCCATTGTGGCATGGCAAAATTTTGAGCTTTAACGGAGATGAGTAGTTGAAATCCCAAGCCGTTCAGGAGTTCTTGGTTTGGAAAGAACTAAACAAGTTTCTTAATTTCTTTCTATCATCAATGTCACAAAGCTTCCTCATTTAATTCACAGCAGTGTCGAATCTCTCATTTCTATGGAGCACGGATAGAACACGTATTTAAACGTTCCTAGACGTGGAATATCGAATAAATGAGACATTTTCACGGACATTCGACTATATGGTCAAAATTGAAAGAGTACCAAAAACTACAGTCAGAACTAGCAAATGAGAGCAGCATATTTACCTTTCTCAAAAAAGACTCGTGATATCATTCTTCACATCATCCCGGGATTTTTCAAGGTGCCTGTTTAAATAGATGCTTAAATCCTGAATTAGACTTGGTATTGGTTTTGGCGGAAGAGTACTTTTCTCAGCTGTTATGCTTTTAGCAACTGCAAATTAGATTAAAAAGAAAAAAAAAAAATCTACTTAAAAGAAGTAGCCAAAATAAGAATCTTATTCTCTACAGCTATCATCACTAAGAAAATGAAAACAATGTTTTAACAAGATTAAGAGCGTGATTTCCTTTTTTCAACTGCAAAAATTCAATATTTAAAGGTTTTAGTATATTAACCGAACCAACGCTGTCTGGAAAAATTACCAGCATAATATACTTCAACAATAAGCGTTCTAAACATTTTCATGTCCAAATTACCAAATTTTGATTCCACAAGACTTCGATACACTTCAACAACATATATTCTTGGGAAAAAAAATTAAGAACCACACATAACAAAATAAATAAGTAAATATATAAATAAGCATAAGAGTTTTTTTTTTTTTTTTACTACTATTTTTTTGAAAGAGAAATAAAAGAATCTTATTAAGAAAATGATAAAAGAGGCAAAAAAGACATCAAAGACAAAAGGGAACCGAAACAGAGGAAGAACCTCGTATTCCACACCAAAAAAAAAAAAAAGGACTATCACTGATGGAAAGTAATATTATTCAAAATGAAGGAATAAAAAAAATAAGAGTTGACTTAAAATGGAAAGCAATACTAGTTATTCTTCTTAAAATTAAAAATAAAGAGAGAAATGAAAAGTAGCTGAAAAATAGAAAACCTAAGCGAAGCTGACGTCAGTGATATGTGGGAAATCTTATGCCCATCTTTGCCCGTTCCTTTCTAACAAACGACATCTGGAGATATCCAAAGAATCAAGAGAGGACGGCAGCCCCTGGTCAGGCAAGCACTCCAGATTTTCGCAATCGTAAATCTTCAAGTTTCTAAGAGAGCAGAGGTGTTGAAAGCCCATGCGATTCAAGTCCCTAAGCCTTGGAAAACCAGCGATCGCGAGAGAAGTGAGAGATGTGGGCAATTGCCCTTCGAGCAAGCTCTGGAGCTCTGCACAATCCCAAAGGACCAGCTTTTTAAGAGAGATGAGCTGCTCAAGTACTCCCTTCCCATTCTCTTCTACTGCGTTGTACTGGAGATTCTTGCACTTCTTAATTTTCAGCTCTTCAAGGGAGATGAGGTGTCGAAGGAAGTCGTCACCTATGTCTTCAAGGCTTGGAAGGTCAAAGATATAGAGAGAAGTCAGAGAAGCGGGCAACCCAGTTCCTGACAAGCTCCGGAGATTCTCGCAAGATGAAATATTCAACTCTTTAAGGGAGTTGAGGTGTTGAAGGCCCTTGCCAAGGTCTTCAAGCATATTAAGTTGAAATAAACGGAGAGTAGTGAGAGATGTGGGCAGCATCTCTCCCGGAAAGCACTGGAGCTCTTTGCAACAAGAAATTCTCAACTCTTCAAGACAAGTGAGGTGTTCAAAGCCCTCCCCATTCAGAACTTTAAGATTCTCAAGTCTTCCAATATATAGAGAAGTCAGAGTGGTCGGAAGCAATGTCTCTGGAAATTTCATCACATTTTCATAGCTCCCTGAAATCTCTAAGCGTGGACGGATTGTTATATCACATTTATTAGAATTAATGGCAAGTGCTTTCAAGTTTGATGGAAAGTTACATAACAAGAATTCGGGACAATCTCTTACATCCACTTCTTCAAGAGAAGGTAAATACTCTGGTAATAAGCACCCACTTAGCTTGGGACATTTGATAATACGAAGGTGCTCAAGACTAGGGAAGCATCCGCCATCTTCTCGGCCTTCAGGAATTGACCAATCTTGCCACGCTGACATGTCTTGAAATCCTAAAGATCTTAAAGATCTAAATGGTTTTGTATTGGAAGAACCATCACCGTAAAATTCAGCACCTATTCTTTCCACACCGCGGCAGTTATAAATTTCAAGAATTTGGAGAGAAGGTAGCTGACCAAATGGTGGCAACAAACAACAGTGGTGGCAATCGCTTAGACGCACAGTAACCATGTTAGTATATGAACGATGACCAACCCAATTAGAGAATGTTTCACCTCCATAACCCTCTATACGAAGCTCCTTCATATTTGTATGAGGTTGGAGTGCATCCAGAACTTCTTCATGGCTTGGTGACTCATTAGCGGCATCATCGAAGCTCCAAAGGTAGACTAGCTTGTTGAGACACCTTTTATCCTTTAAGTTAGCCTCCAAAACATCAACGACCTCAACATTTTCAAGCTTACGGATTTCAAGTTCTCCGGACAAGTAGCGCAACCCTCCTAACTCTTTAATGCTAGAGCCACGCCTTTTGCACAAAACAAACTGGCATAGTGTTTGCAAGTCTTTCATATTGCGCATCATAGGCGGCATCTCCTCCAGTGGTACGCCTTTAATTTCAAGATGGCGCAAATTGACTAGGTCTCGTATGTCCTTTGGCAACTGAGTTAGTTGTCCGCACCACGATAATCGCAAAGTCTGCAAATAATACAATCTACAAAGCGTATTGGGTATCTCTTTGATATTATCATTCCATGATAAATCCAAATACCGCAAATGCTTTAAATTGCCAATTGAGTCGGGCAGTATTATGATGTCTAGATTTGATAGACAAAGAGCTCTTAAGCATCCTCCGATAGAGAGCAATCGTTCAATTTGTTGGTTGCTAATTAGGGATTTCCAATAGGATGGTTTTGATGATACGCAAGTGCGGAGACTCTTAGCCAAAGATAAACCTTCAAAACTCTCCAAGTCATCAATTTTGGAGTATGAAACATGGCGAGTCTTTCCAGAAAATTTAGCTTTGTCACCCTCATCCAACCTGCAAGAAAATTCACCCGATACAAATATTGCTAAATCATGTGTGAGGTCATGCATTAAGATGGTCGATTTATCCTTACTCAATGGTTGGAACAACGACCTTGATATCAGATCTTGAAAGTACTCATTCCCTACATCCTCAATTCTTTTCCCTCTCTTTCCAGATTGCAAAAGACCTTCCGCCATCCATAGCCGTATTATTTCTTCCTTTTTAGATTCATCCATTTCATAATCCTTGGGAAATATCGAGCAGTAAGCAAAGCATTTCTTTAGATGTGAAGGTAGATAATGATAGCTCAACCACAGAGTAGGCAAAATGTTGTTACTCTGATTTTCTTGCAACTGCAACTCCCATATGTCACTATTGAGTATCTCTCTCCATTCCTCTGGATCCACCACCGAGCGCAAGAGACCAGCAAGAGACTTAACCGCTAAAGGAACACCTTTGCACTTTTCGACAATACCTCTGCCAATTGCATGTAATTCTTGATACGGCTCTGACCTTGCACCATCAATAAACACATGCTCCTCAAATAACTTCCAACAATCATCATCAGATACTTCCCCAAGGTGATGTGTTGGCACATTTCTCCTCTTCTTTGCGATGATATCACTACGTGTCGTCACAATGATTCCGCTTCCATGAGCTCCGGATTTGAAATAACTCAGTAAGGCCTCCCAACGCTCATAGTTCTCGTCCCATACATCATCCAAAACAAAGAGAAATCTCTTGCCCCTCAATGACTCATTTAACTCGCATTGAAGTTGATCGAGGCCCTCAGTTTCACATTTTTGCTTGGTGATCCCTTGAAGAATTTTTTTAGCTATTACAGAAATCTCAGATTCATCAGAAACAGTAACCCATGATCTGATATCAAAATGACTCTTCACACTTATATCCTCATATACTAGCTGAGCAAGGGTGGTCTTGCCGATGCCACCCATGCCCACAATGGGAATCACAGATATCTTGTTCTCGCTACTACTACCATTATCTGGAAGCAATAGCTTCATGATTTTCTCCTTATCATCATTCCTTCCAAGGACACGAGATTCATCAGCCAAAGGAGCGGGTAATCTTTGAGAAAGCCTTTTAGTGACACCTTCTTTTAAACCAAGGACATCTTTTTGCTTGACAATAAAATCTAGTTTATCATGGATCTTCTCTATTGCTTGGTCAAATGAAGTGTGAGAACTAGAGATGGTGGTTTTGAGTTTCTTAAACATGCTTCCAGATCCAGTTTCAATCTCGTACCTCAAAGTTTCATAGTTGATGTCGTCCAGCAACTCCTCTGCAGCACAGATGGCGTCTTTGAGCTCAGAAAGCCACACCCTCACACGCGGGTTTGTGAGTTGTTTCATCTCAGCATCATCCAGGACTTGATTAGCAGAGCACAACATGATCTTCAGCTTCTTGAGTAACCACTCATCGAGTTTCAATCCCCGAAAGAAGTTGAGGTCCTCAGCTTTTGTAGAAGCTAGCTTGTCAAACAGCCTGTCAAACAAAGAAGAGAGGAAAGCTCCTCCAACAAGTTCAGCAGCCATGTTTTTGGTTGGTATTGCAGTTACAGAGACAAGGGAAGAAAGGAAAGAAGGAAAAGTTAATTTGGTGAGTTCTCAATTGCAGCTTACAAGCAGGGGAAAGGAAAGGAAAGTCTTAGTCAATAGGGAAAAGGGTGGAAGGCACTGAAAATAAAAAATGGACAAAGCAAATTTACATGAAAATGCTACAACGGGAAACAAAGGAAGACGGGTGGAAGGCGCTGAGCAACAAGTAAACAAATAGACAAGCGCAGTAGACGGATAGCTAGCCAATGATGCTAATTGGGCGGCAAACAAATGAGTAAACAAATGAACAATATTAGCCACTGATACCACTTTTTTCCACTTAATCCTTTAGGCCGGCCCGTCAACATAGCACAGAACTTTCTTTAACAATATAGAATTCTTACTTTTATATATATATATATA